ACACCCACACACACACATATATATATATATATATATATATATATATATATATATATATATTTCGATCTAGAAGGAGCAATATAGTAAGTTTGTAATACAAAAGTTCCTTTAAATAAGACCTTATATTCAGAAATTGTATATAAAAAATGTGGTTGGAAGGGACCCCATTAAAAGTGATTTTAGTAAATAAAATCGATAAATAGTTGATATTAATAACATAATTAAAAAAAAAAAATTATAATACAAAAGGAATAAACTCTACCACCTAATCTCATGGTGATACGTGCAAAAGAAGAAATAACTATTTATTGTTTTGTCCAAATCCACATGATTAATGGTAGGAGACGAACAGCAACCATATTGTATGTAGAGATTAATGGAAATATCTTACTGCAAATAAGAGAGAATGTTATATTTTAACGTCTGTAGTTACAAAAGAATAATATAGAAAGCACTTAAAATTACTACACTTATGATTTTATGTTCTGTCAAAGACATTTATTTTCTTAAAAATATTTATATTATTTTACATTTTATTTCTACCAAATAACTTATAAAATAATTTTATTTTTCTAAATCAATCATACCCTTAAAATGAAATTGTATCCTTACCTTACCCTCTTTTTCCAGTCAATGTCCTTTGCATGACTCAAGAAACTAAACTTACAATGTAATTATTTGATTATACACCCTTTCTATCTTCGAGATATTCTTACATCTTCTTATAAGAAGAATTTTTTTTCCCCAGCGGGAAGATTTCCATTATTAAATTTATGTTTTTTGTCACTACCTCGTTGAGTACCATTATTTTCTTTTGGGTCCTTAATGCAATAGAAAAATACCAGGCCCAAGGCCAAGAAGATGGACAAACCAAAACTAAGAAGACCAAATTCGGATTATCCTAAACCCAACTAATATAAATGTTATTATATTAATTTAATCATCCCTGAAGGTTGATGAACTAAAGGGGTTAGCAACAACTCGAAATCCACCCAAAGTGAAAGAAAAAATAAATTAATGGGTCGATTCCGGTGGATTACCCTTTGGACAGGTTAGAAAAAACAGTTTTATATTCAAGATGTGATGGTGATGTTATTAATTATTCTTATTTTTTCAGCTTTACTATTTTTTTTTAATAATAATAATAATAGTTATATTGTTTGAAAGTTTGATAGTTATATGCAAGTTGGGTCTGGACTTCGAATAGATAAAGTTTGAATGGGCCCTAATTACATTGTATTAAGGTTCATTATATATACACCTCCTTTTTTTTATAAATACACCTCATTTTAAATTTTTTTTATAAAATATTATAATTTTTTAAAAAAAATTTAATTTTACACTTTCAACTTTCAATTTGTTACTTTCTTTTTCTTATTTACATACTTTTTTTTTTCTCTTTCAATTTTTACATGTTAACAAAATAGGTGGGGTGAAGGAAAAATAAAAGGATGTATGTAAAAATTGAAAAAAGGAGGAAAGATGTGTGAAAAAAAAGTATTAAATTAAATATTGTAGATGTAAAATTAAAAAAATTAAAACAAAAAATTAAAAATATTTTAAAATTTTAATTATTTTTTTTAAAAGAAGGTGTACTTATAGAAAAAAAGAGGTATATATATCATGAACCTTGTATTAAAAATGATATAAAGAATTGAAAATTTTGATTAAAAAAAATAGTGAAAAAAAAATCTGGGCCGTGATGACATTATCGAAGTAGCCCAAAACTAGATCAAACCGACCAGTGCATGTCTTAGTAGCACGAAGTCCAATGTGTCGCTGATTTCACACTGCTATTACAATAATTAACGCTACAAAAAATTATCATATACGGATAAATACCGTAAACCCTAAACATTATACATGTCACTAAAAATTACTTTTACTGACATAATAAATACAAGTTATGCTAATATATTGTTAAAATATGTGCATAAACTATAATGTGACATATAAAATATATTAAATCTTATTTAAAATTAATACTAAAATTGTATGTAACTATATATTAAAATAAATATATACTTACATATATTATATTTATAGTGATATTTTTTATACGTTACTATATATAACATTTCTTATGATGTAAATATTGTTAAATTAAATTTAATTAAAAATGGTCTTAAATTTAATTAGCTAGGATTATCTTAATTCACAACTATATACTTTAAATTATTAAAGTATCTTAACTAAAATACAAATAAGTGTGTACATTAACAAATGTTTGTATGCTTGTTAACGTACATCTCTTTTTTTTTTCTTTTTTTTTTTTTTTTACAGAAAGAATATGCTACCAAATTATAATTATGATTTTCTTAGAATTAATACCCTTGCGACATAATTTGTTAATGTATTCTAAAAAAAACCAAAACAAGTGCCTGTACATTGGTGAATCCAATATATAATAATAAATAATTTTAATTGAATTATATTTTTTTTTCCAAAAAATACAATACTTATTTTAATAATCTTTACTCATCAATAAAAATTTTAGTCTTTAATTATTAATTGGTAAAGCGAGACACATGGTACACATAAAAAAAAAGGAAAATTATATTGGACTAAGATTTTTTTTCAAATATAATAATCAATCATATATAAATATATCGATTTTCACTTTTTTGTTTTTGAATACGAAACATAAAAGAAGGACTGGAATATAAGATAAGAAAATAGTCAGAATTAACTTTTTTTATATCATGTTTTAAAAAATCTCAAATAAGACAAATAAAAATCAAGATATTCTAATAGAATATAAAGAAAGTACATTTAAAGCTTAAGTGACAAATCAAGATTGAGAGATGCTTCTTTGGATGTTTCTTGTGGCATGGAAGGATGAGCATCAATTCTTGCTGCGACTGTTGGTGTGGTCTCGATTTGACTTGATGAATTGGTGAAACCCTTTTCAAAAAGAGACAGTGTTCCAACATTGGCATTACCATATTCTGGCCTTAAACCCGCACTTGCATCACCTTTCATAATTCCAAACCCATCAAATAATGAAGAACTTGACACCCCATGAGGATTCTTCTTTAGCCAAGTGTGATCATACCGTGGAGTCCAAGAATGCTTGTGAATCATGGAATCTGTCCGAACTCCAAGTGCCCTATTGAAAGACCCTCCATAAAGGGAATGAGAGTTGTAAAAAGTTGGATAAGGATAATAAGGGTAGTGCCCAAAACCACCATCATCAAACCCTTGACGACGTTTCGCTAGGGCACGTTCTTGTTTATGAGCGTTTTGGTGTCCTCCCAAAGCTTGTGATGAAGAGAATTCCCTCTTGCAATAGTTGCATGAAAAAGTCTTTGCATTATTATTCTCATCATCACCTTTAGCGTAAAAATTGGGTGAATCAACCACCTTAGAACTCGATGGTTCTTGAGCCATGTTGTCCTTTGAAAGCTTCATGAAATCCACCAATTCTTTGGAAGCCTTGAGACGCTTCTCGCTGTGTTTCATCACAATGAGAGAAAACTAAGATAATTGAACTTTTGAAATAGTGAATATGCAAAGAGGAGGCATGGACGTGGTTATTTATTCACGATGAATGCCATATCTACATTAATAAATAAGAAGAGAATCTCGTGTTGCCGTTTTTATTTCCAATTAGTGCAATGTAAAATATTGGAAGATCAACTAAAGATCAAGTAATAGTGCCAAGTACTTCAATCACAAAAACTTCCATAATCAAAGAGTGGGCACGAGTCATGTTAGTAAATCAAAGCTTTTATGTACTTTACATATGATATCAATTAATCACGTTATATGGCAAATCGGTATATTTGGTATTTATTTTGCTACTAGAGTTACTTGGAATAAAAATATTTCTCCAATTGAACAATATATTATATGTGCAACATAATCATGGCTTAATTGCCTTTGTTCTCTTCAAAAGTAACCTCCTTCTTTCAATTTGTTTCCTCCCATTACATAGCACACACTTTAGACAACTTGGAGCCATGAATTATGATTTAATTTATGTTCTTTCCTTAATACACGCTAACCCTTGGTGATGAAAAAGGAATTTATGAAGTGAGTTTTACATTCATGTTAGCAGGTTATTACATTCTTCTACAATTTTAAAAACAAACAATTGTATAAACTATAAAAAAAAAAAATTGTGGCATTTGTGTGTAAACTACGAGACAGAATGGAATACTCAATTTTGGGAGATATCTTGATGAAGAAAAAAAATGCAACGTCAAGATTATTTTTTTTGTACTTCATACGAAAATTAGAATTGTATTATAATTAAAAAAAAATAAAAAAAATATATATATATATATATTCATTGAATGTTATTCAAAAGGAACAGAAATTTCTCTCGATTTAAAATTCTTATATTTTAAAGTTATTCTTATTTGATAAATATAATTTTGTTGATTAGTAAATTTGATATAAAATTTAGAAAACAATCATGCACAACCTTCCTAATTGGATATGCATTTCAACTCACTGCATTTATAGTTTTGTACAATTACGAATATACAATTCACCCGTTTAACAGTAGAATAATTTAAAAGATCCTTTTATTATTCTTTACTTGCGTGATGGCATTATATACATATACTATTTAGTGGTTAATATGTAATTGCGTATCAAACTTAATTGAAATATAAAATAATATAATTATATATCTTACAGTTTCTAATATTGAATAATCACTATATTTTAACACTGTCAAATAGGATATTTAAAGAAATAGTAACCATGCAAGTATTGGAACAAATAATCAATAATTTTTCCACCACAAATTCAAATTTATTATCTATTACCATGTTTAATTGTTCATAAAAAAATTCTTGCCTAAAATCACGTCATATATGGAAATCTGAGTGTTTCGCCTCTTGACTAAAACGTACATATTTTTTGTACAAAATTTTCAGCAATATATAATTGCGTTAGATTTGGTATTTTTTATGGCAATAATAAATTATTTTTTAAAATTAAGTTATGAGTTAATTAAGTGCTTGATTGATTGAAATTTCTGATATTAATTATTTTTTAAAATCGTCATAACAAATTAGTTTTTCTATTAATGCAAACTTTTGAGTAAAAAGAGTATATATATATATATATATATATATATATACATACATAAATATAAAAATTAAAGTTAAGTTTTGATGGAAGCTTCCAGTGGAAGAGATTGAGGTTCTTCAACTAGCTCCATCTTCATTGTCCAATATTCTCTTGAGGTTCAACTTATTCACAGAAGCAA